AAACCTTGCTGGGTAGTAACATATAATAAGCTCTGAACAACATTACACTTTGCAAAATCCTTCCATAAACCCTATTTCATTTGATTCCCACTGCTGCCCTTATTTTCATAGTAAGGAAATCCTAGCTCAGAGAGGCTGACTTACCAGTGTTTCAGCTCTAAATCTTTTTCCTACTGTACAAAGGAGAGGATTTCCCTGATCCTCAGTAATTTCTCACTAAAGTGGAAAAGCAGAGGGGCCAAAATTTATGAAGAAATGAACACAAGGAGGGTCAATTTTATCTGTAACTATGATTTCTTGTGGGGGAAGATTCAAAATACTGACTCTACAAAGTTGAGCGGTAGATATACAAATAGTTATTATATTGCATTATATACTTTTCTATGTGCTTGAAATATTCTATAACTTCTGTTTTTTTAAAAGAGGAAATTGAAGGACAGGAGAAAATAACTCCAATGCATGTCAGGCTCTCACCTCTCCTCCACCTGGCCTATAGGTCTGGGATAACCCGTTTATCAGCTGGAACCCAGAGGAATGTAAGGGCATCACTAAGATCAGTATGGCAAGCGAGAACCTGTGGCTCCCAGACATTTTCATCGTTGAGTTGTGCGTATCAAGGGCTGGGAAAGTCAGAGGGAAGTCCCATCTCCTGAAATCAGTACAGATTATGATTTACCATTGGGGCTACCAGAAATGGTCTTTAGATGGCTAAGAAACAACCAGAGAGATAAGAAAAAAGCCGCAGCACCTGCCTCCCACCTCATTTCTCTTCCAGCGTGGATGTGGATAAGACCCCACATGGCCTCACAGCATATGTAAGTAATAATGGTCGCATCAGGTATAAGAAACCCATGAAGGTGACCAGCATCTGTAGCCTGGACATTTTCTACTTCCCTTTTGACCAGCAGAACTGCACACTCACCTTCAGGTCATTCCTCTACACAGGTAAGCTGCAGTGGGGTCTCAGGGATGGGGGTGAATGAAAGCAACCAATGAGGCAATAAAAAATAAAATATCAGGCTCGGCGCCTGTGGCTCAAGCGGCTAAGGCGCCAGCCACATACACCTAAGGTGGCGGGTTCGAATCCCCAGCCCGGGCCCGCCAAACAAACAAAAAAAAAAATGATGGCTGCAACTAAAAAAAAATGGCCAGGCGTTGTGGTGGGCGCCTGTAGTCCCAGCTACTTGGGAGGCTGAGGCAGGAGACTCGCTTGAGCCCAGGAGTTGGAGGTTGCTGTGAGCTGTGATGCCACGGTACTCTGCCCAGGGGGACAGCTTGAGGCCCTGACTTAAAAAAAATAAAATAAAATAAAACAAAAATAAAATATCAAATAATGTTGAGTAAATTGTGACCAAGACGTATGGGTGGAACAACGAATAAGGCTCTATGGATACAAAAATATTGTCCATAAAGGCAGAACCCAGTGGGGCACGGTGATGCACGCCTATAATTCTAGCACTCTGGGAGGCTGAGGCAGAGGACGGCTAGCGCTTAAGAGTTCAAGACCAGCCATAGCAAGAGCAAGACCTCATCTCTACTAAAAATAGAAAAATTAGCCAGGTGTTGTGGTGGGCACCTGTAGTCCCAGCTACTTGGGAGGCGGAGGCAGAAGGATCACTTGAGCCCAAGAGTTTAAGGTTGCTGTGAGCTAGGCTGATGCTATAGCACTGTAGCCTGGAAAACAAAATGAAACTATGTCTAAAAAAAGAAAGGAAGGAAAAAAAGAAAGAAGGGAGAGAGGGAGGGAGGAAAGAAGGAAGAAAGGAAGGAAGGAAGGAGAAAGAAAAGAAAGGGCAGAACCCAAATCTGTCTTATCATCATCCCAAGCTCCTAGCACACTTCCTGGCAGATGGTATTCACTCAGACATCCTTGCTGAATAGAAAGATGGGGAAAGAGAGCACAGTTTTGTCAGGAAACTGTCTCCTTGGAGGATGATTTGGATGGGTCTCCCTTTCAGTGGATAGCATGTTGCTGGGCATGGAGAAAGAAGTGTGGGAGATAACAGACACATCCCGACACATCGTTCAGACCCATGGAGAGTGGGAGCTCCTGAGCATCAACAAGGCCTCCCCAAAGATGTCTGTGGGAGGCAACCTGTATGACCAGATCATGTTCTATGTGAGCTCAGAGGCCTTTACTTTTTTCCTTCCTTTCTTGCTCCTGCCCTTGCCTAGAATCGCCACCAAACAAATATCTCCCGTTTCAAGGTCTCTCAACCTTACCACTCTCTGCCTGAGGCCAGAATCCTCTCCCCAGCTGCCCATCCTAACTCTCCTTCCTAAAGCTCATGCCTCTGGCCTAACTTTCTTAGCTAGTTCAATATCAGATTAGGATGCTGCATTCTACATAGCTTCAGATCCCAGGTGTGATCAGACCAATGAAAAAGGCGCAGACAGAAACAGTCACTGCT